GAGGGAGGAGGAGGAGGTGCCTGTCTGAGGGAGGAGGAGGTTCCTGTCTGAGGGAGGAGGAGGTCCCTGCCTGAGGGAGGGGGCATTTGATGCCTTTGAGCTGTGGTGTTGGAGGAGAGCGCTGAACATCCCATGGAGGGCCAAAAGAACAAACAAATATGTCTTGGAGAGGCTGCTCACCCTCGCTTCTAAGCAGCACTCTGGCTCTTCTCCATGACAGATCCGTTTGTCCTTGGAGCAGTCTATGGTATAGTCACTAGGAGGCGGGGAACCCATTGGGATAGAAAAGTGAAGTGTGGACAGCTCTGAAACAGGTGGGAAAATCCATTTATCAACTACACCACGAGAAGGATCGAGCCAGATGCTTTTGCTTCCATGAGAGGGAAGAGTAGAGAGTTTCCACAGCTGCAGGTTACCTGCCGGACCAAAGCAAATGCACAGCTCTCTTCTCTGCCTCTTGCTTTCTTTTCCTTTAAAGAATCTCAAACTTAGGGGAAAGTTTCAAGTGCAAACACTTTGAAACCATTTGCTGTCTTCTCTCATTGTGGTCAAGTCAGAACCAAACATTCGTGGTTTCTGAGCCTGTAAGTTGTACGGGAAGAGACCATCTTTCTCCCACTGAGGACAGAGTGGCACGTTATTCCTGGGAGCTGGGCTGCCTCACCCTCAAGCAGCTTGTGCTGGTTTCCTACCTGTGAACTGCAACATGTGTGTCAGAATCAGCTCATTAATGCTGACCCATTAGCTTCAGAGGGCAGCCCCTGGGTTCAATATTGGATTCTCATCCAGAGGGTTGTTGGTTCAAATCCACGAGAGGCTCTGTGGGAGAAAGGTGAGGCAGGATGGATCCTCTCATTAAGACTTGAAAGCCCAAAGGCGTGTCATCCAGCACCTCCCTTCCACTCAAGTTATCTCTTAGTGAACTTGAACCTCCCACCGCTTGGTTTGAAGGGCCCAGGTTGAGATCTTGTGGAAGATCCCTCAGTTTGGTCTGACTGGGGCTTTCTCATGGTCAGCATTGGGTTTTGCATTTAGAGTAGAAATAGCAGATGCAATGTATGTACTTCATGGTGAGAGGTGGGCGATTCTCCTTACTGGGAAAGTTAATCTTTTTTTCCCCCTGAACTTTTTTTTTTATTAATTTTAATGAAAGTTTACAGAGACTTTGAGTTTCAGTCACTGTTGAACTTTTCTCCCTGCTCAACCTTGCCCCTAGTTCGCTCTTCTCTTTGAAAAGCAAAAGAAAAATGCTTATACAGTCCCTCCCCCCAAGTCCACTCCACTATGTAGCCTTCGTTTTGAAAAGTAAAAGAAAAATTCTTTCATTGTTATACAAACCCTTCCCCCCAGGTCCACTCCACTTTGCAGCCTTTACTCTGGACTCCTGTCATGAAAATAATACCTAATCACATGTCCCTTTTAAACAGTTCTCTCCCTCATCCATTTCAATGCAGTATACATTATTTATCCCGTCTTTCTCAGTCTCCCCCCGAGCCCGATGTCAGTCCCTTTTTACAACAGTGGCACTATGCAGTATTTGTCATTTTGTGACTGAGATATTTCACTCAGCATAATGTCCTCCAAGGTCACCTATTTGGTATATTTCACGAGTTCCTTGTTTTTCAATGCAGCGTAGTATTCCATTGTGTGAATAGACCAAAGCTTCTCTCGCCATTCGTTTGTTGATGGGAACTTAGGTTGTTTTCAACTCTTTGCTCTTGTGAACAAAGCCACGATAAGCATGAGTGTGCATGTATCTGCTTGGGTGACGATTATGGTTTCTCTAGGGTAAATTCCTAGTAGTGGAATTGCTGGGTCAAATGGTATTTCTATTTGCAACTTTCTAGAAAGTGCCATACAGCCTTCCACAGTGGTTGCACCATTTTACACTCCCACCAACAATGAAGAAGGGTTCAAGTTTCTCCACAACCTTGCCAGCATTTGTTGTTTGCTGTTCTGTTAAATTTTGCTCTTTCTACTGGGGTGAGATGATATCTCATAGTTGTTTTGATTTGCATCTCTTGGAGTTGTTAATCTTGAGCACTTGATCAAAGTTGTGTTTATCATGTTGCTTAACCACTTCTTTTATCCATTTCCAGTTACCCGATCTTATCATTCAGTTTTGGATTCTTTATGGGCTATCTACCATGCCTTTGTCAAATGTCAATTGGTATCCCATCATTTCTGGACCTTCTTTTTTTCTTTTTTTCCTATTGCCTCCAGTGCAGCTTAAATGTCTTCCTTCATTACCGTTGACTCTTGACCATATAAGTACTCCCTGACAGTTTTCAATGTCAAGCAGTTCTTTTGGTACAGTGTCTCTGTGTATTTCTTCCATCTTCTTTTAATGCTTCTTGGTTCATTCAAGATTTTGCCCATAGGATCTCTCAGTATTGCAACTTGAGGTTGGAATTTGTTTTTCAAGGTCTTTCAGTGTGAGAAAGGCTTCTCCAAATTACTGAGGAGCAATGATGTGAGTTTGAAGTCTAAGGTGCACCTGATTCAGGCTATAGTTTTTTTCAGTCCTTTGCTATGCATCTGAGAGCTGGACAGTGAATAAAGAGACAGAAGCGGAAATCAATGCCTTTGAGTTTTGGTGTTGAAGAACAGTACTGGACAAACCATGGACTTCCAAGAGAACACACAGATATGTATATCTTGGGGAAAGTGCACCCAGAATACTCCTCAGAGGCAAGGATGGCAAAACTTAATCTCACATACTTTCTTAGAGAAGAGCATCATGTTTGGAAGAGTGGAAAGTTAGTGAAAGAGATCTGTGTGCTTCATGGTGAGAGGCAGGCAATTCTCCTTACTGGAGTTGTTAATTTTTTTAAATCTTTTTTATTATTTTTTGTGCGTGTAAACTGGGTGGCTCCTTGGAGGCAAAGATTCTGAGGCTCCGTCTAACATACTTTGGACATGTTGTGAGGAGGGAAAGGTCCCTGGAGAGGGATATCATGCTTGGGAGGGTGGAGGGACAGCACAGGAGAGGAAGGCCCTCTATGAGGTGGATTGATTCAGTGACCGGAATAATTGGGATGGGAGTATCAGAGACAGTGCGGTTGGCACAGGACAGTACGGAGTTTAGGGCTGTTGTACATAGGGTCGCTATGAGTCGCAAGCGACTCGACGGCACGTAACAACAACAACAAACAACCATCAAATCAGATCTGACTGGTACAGGAAGAGCTCTGGTGGATTTGAACCTCATACCTCTGGAATTTCAGTGCAGCTTCTTACCGCTAGGCCACCAGAGCTCCCTTGGAGTTGTTAATCTTGATCACTTGATCAAAGTTGTGTTTGTCATGTTGCTCAGCCATTGCCTTTATCTATTGCCAATGGTCCTGTCGTTGAGACCCTCAGTGAGATGGATTGATGCAGTGACAGCAGCAACGGGCTCAAGCGTGTCAGAGATGGTGAAGATGGCACAGGACAGGACAGGGTTCAGGTGTGGTGTTCATCGGGTCACTGTGAGTTATACTCAACTTGATGACACCTAACAACAGTTTCTCTGCTGCTGCTTGTTGGGTTATGGTGACACCATAATAATAGTAATAACCATCCCACCATGACCAAGTTTAAGCTACAGCCAAACACACTGCCAGTGGGTGGATTCTGACCCTTTGCAACACTGCAGGACAGAGTAGACTTGCTCCGTATGGTCTCTGAGGTCAGTTGTAATCTTCCCCCCACCTTTAAAAGCCAAAGTTTCTTTTTTACTTAAAAATGCACAAGAGAGTTTAAAAAGCCCGAGTTGGGATCTTTCCGGGAGTGAACCACCTCATCGTGCTCCTGCAGAGTAGCTGGTGGGTTTGAACTGCCGACCGCTTGGCTAGCTGCTCAACGCTTCTGCCCACAGCACCAGCAAGTTGGCAGAGTTTGGTCCTCTCTTACAGGAGAGAGACAGACCAGAGTTGGCCTGGGATGCCCTGGTAGTGAGGTGTGTAACATGTTGGGCTTCTAACCACAAGGTCAGTGGTTCAAATCCTCTAGCCTCTCTGAGAACACACACATCTGTTTTGGGGAAAGGACAGCTGGAGTGTTCGTCAGAAGCGAGGTGGTAACACGTCATCTCCCTTGGAGCATGTTGTTGGGAGGGGCCGCACCCTGGAAAAGGACGGCGTGCTTGGCAAAGTCTAGGGCCAGTGAAAGGGAGGACGGGAGACCCTCAGCGAGGCAGATGGCCCGGCACAGTGGCTGCACCTTGCTGGGCTTCAGCACGGCACAGACTGGAGATGGTGCAGGACTGGACAGTGGTTGATCTGTTCTCTGTAGGGTCACGATGACCAGGCTCTACGGCACCTAACAACAATCCTTTCAATGTGTAACACTTGTGGACAGTGGCTGGCTGGTTTTAGGGGCTCCCTGCTTCTCCATGAGCTCCATCGAGTCTGGGGTGCTCTCGCCTCACCTTGTGTTGAGGGCCAACAGTCCACCTACTGGACCCACAGGACACAGACCTGGGGACAATGATGTGAGCAGTGGCAGAAGGGTCCACGAAGATGCTTTCTGCTTGGGTTGTTTTGTTTTTTTTTTTAGTCAGAGGAGTGCAGTGTGCAGAGAACCCCGCTTGGTCCATCTTTGTCCTAGTGCAGATTTTTTTTTTACAGTTTTAAAACTTTATTTGATAATCAGCTATTAGTTTTCATCCACACTGATGGTCTGTAGATTCTTGAAAGTGGTGACGGGTACATAGGTAACCAGTGTACACAGCTTGTTTGGGGAATCTTCATCCTCATTATGTTTTCTGGACGACCGTGCAAGGATGTGGTATGGGACCTTCTTTGTTCCTTTGGCCCAGTCAGCTTTGTTAAGCCTGGTGTTGATGCGAACATCAGGTGTTCCCCTCTCCTTCATGGCGAATTTCCGGATCTCCTTGAGTGCCTGAGGAGCCCGCTTCTTAAATCCCACTCCACGGATGCACTTGTGAATGTTGATGGTGGCCTCTCTTTGTTGATGGCAGAACTGCCTTTCTTCTTCTCACCACCCTTCTTTGCAGGGGTCATAGCACTGGGACCAGGCTGGAAAGGAAGAGGGCGAAGGATTGTGGGAAAAGCCCAGTGTAGTTTTAAAACCATTTTTTCATTCTTTTTTAATGGAGGAAGAGATGCAACCAGGCAAAACTAGATTGAGCACGGATGTCCTAATGGAGCCTGGTGGGTTTGCGCAGGGTCAGAAGGACTGAGGAGGGGTGGGGGAAGGCCTGCCCTAACCCCAATGTTCTCACCCACCCCCCACCCCATCAGGTGACCTGGATGAAGAAATCATCCCAGAAGAAGACATCATTTCCAGAAGTCAGTTCCCCGAGAGCTGGCTGTGGGAAATAAAGGAAATCAAAAGCCCAGGGAAGAACGGGTATGCCTGTAAACCCACTGCCACCCCACTGCCCCCCAGCCACAGCACTGGGCCTTTCCCCTCACCAGCCCCTGAAAACCCAAAGCCAAACCCACTGTCACCAGGTTGATCCCTATTCGCATCAACCCCATATGGTTCCAAGGCTGTAACCTTTATACACAGACCACCTCACCTTTCCCCCACAGAACAGCTCAGGGATTTGAACCGCGGACTTTGAAGTTAGCAGTAAACAGTGAATGCTTTTACTGCCAGAGCCTCAAGACCTCACTTAATTTGCAGGCATCCCCAGCCTCCCTCTACCCACACTTTCCCCAAGTTTTTCCACCCAGGTGGTAAGACAAAGGTTAGGGGTTCAAACCCCACAACAGCACCACAGAAGACAGGCATGGCCACCTGCTTCCATAAAGACCTGTTGTCTTCAAGTAGATTCCAACTCATGTTGCCGCTCATGTGTGCAGAATGCAACTGCAGTCCCTAGGCTTTGCAAGGCTATGGTCTTTCAAAAAAATGGATCCCCAGGTCCAGCTTCCAGAGCACCCTGCGTGGGTTTGAACTGAAGCCTTACAACCTGGGAAAACCTGGGAAAACCCTGGTGCAGTTTTAGTCTCTAACACAAGGGGGCTCCCTGAGCTGGAACCGACTTAGTGACAGAACATCATCAGACAAAAACACCCCACTGTCCTGGAATCGTTAAAAAACCTCACAGTTTAACCTAGAGAACCCAATGGGCAGGTTTTTCTCAGTTCCCATGGGCACCCCACCTTCTCTAACACCCTTGCCTCTCCTCCATCTCTACCCAGAATCTCCACGGAGCAGGTGAGCGTTTTCTTGAAAGACTCCATCACCACCTGGGAGATCCTGGCCGTGAGCTTGTCCGACAAGAAAGGTGATGCCCCATCCTTGGGGTGGGGCATGGGTCTCCCGGGGACCCCCTGGTTGCTGAAGAGGTGCTAGGTGCTGGTCTGTGGGGGACAGCTGTTGTCCGTTGCCACTGAGTGGTCGGTCATCCTTCACGTACAGAGCAGAACTGGACTCCCAAGGGTTTTCAGGGCCTAGTTTTTCAGATGTAGATGTCCAGGCCTTTCTTCCGAGGCACTTCTGTCCAACACAAACTTCCCTCCAGCCTTTTGGAGTGAGCTCCTGAACCGTCTGCTCCACCCAGCAACTCCTGAAAGTGTCTTGTTAGTTGCCACTAACAAGAAGTTATTTTGCTAATAGGTTTATTTTTAAAATTGTGGTTTTAAACAAAAACAAACAAAATTGTTCCTTTGTTAGTTGCCAGTAAATTCAGTCTCCATTCAGGAAGACCTTGAGCGTAGAACTGTGTTCCACGTGTAAAACATAATAGCTGGGACCCTTCCAGCCCTGAGGGTGTAGTGTTCAATGTGTCAGATGCAAGAGGTCAGCCGTTTTAATCCACCAATGTCTCTGCTGGAGAGAGCTGGGCTGTCTCCTCCCATAAAGATGAGCAGTCTCAGTGACCCCACGGAGCCCGAGCCTGAACCGACCTGAGGCTGCTGGGGATTTGTTCTCCTCGAGGCAGAGGGTCTGTTTGAACTGCCCACTTTGCAGGGAATAGTGGAGTGCTTCACCGTGTGCGCCACCCCGGGGCTCCTGGTCTGAGGAGGAGAGAGTCCCTGAAATGGGAGCTTTTGCAACAGGGAACACTTGCAAGGATGATGTCGACACGGTAGTGGGTGAGGTGGTTAGGAAGAGGGCGAAGCTGAAACGCGTGGCTGAAACACGGGGTCAGGTTGGGAAATGTGACACCAAGGTGCCCACAATCAGCCAGCGTGCGCTGTCCCCAACCATGGCATCCCCTGGTTGTACAAGAGCAGAGCTGCGCTCCTAGCGTATTCAATCACTCAATTCCTAAGGTGGCCTAGTGGTAAGAACCTGTGCTGTGGTCCTGAAGGCACTCAGTTCAAATCCACCAGCTGCTCCGCGGGAGAAGGATGGCTGGTCTCCTCCCGTGGTCTCTGAAAAACCTGCACAAGGGTCAGCTATGGGTTGATTCCGACTTGACAATACATAACAACAACAACAACAACAACAACTCATAGCTGACCATGCAGTGGGTTTTCAGGGACTGTAAATCACACGGGGGAGGAATGGTCCATCATTGTCCTTCAGCAGCTGGTGGATTCAAACTGCTAGACATGCACTGCCTTTGATTTAGCTGTGCAAAACTCCTACGGATAATGGCCCCAGAGCTCCCCGAGGGGCTTCAGAAGATGGGATTTTCAGAAGTAGACCGCCAGGCCCTTTCTCCTGAGGTGCCTTTGGACAGATCCAAAGCATCGCCCTTTCAGAGAGCAGCTGAATACATGAACTCTCTCTTTCTTTCTTTCTTTCTTTCTTTCTTTCTTTCTTTCTTTCTTTCTTTCTTTCTTTCTTTCTTTCTTTCTTTCTTTCTTTCTCTCTT